GGGGGGGGGGGGGGGGGGGAGTACGGGCAGGCTAGAGCATGACTCAACGCCCTTTTTGCTATTACATACAAATCCATTGGTAAATGCATACTTTCTTAACTATAGAGTACCTTGAGAACATCTCTCAACATGCCTGACTTATCTTAAACTCTTGTCAGCTCCTCTGACAACTGATTTTACCGTAGACACAGAAGTGAAAGTAGATTGAAGTTCTTGCCGGTACCACTACCCCGACCTTCATCGCTTCATTTTGTTCCCCTCCCGCCTCCAGCTGCAGCCTGTGCAGCTTTAAAAAGATCAAATTAAACAGATAAAATGCTTCGTATCCGGGGGGTAGGGCTGCTTTGAAGGAGACAGGAACAGATGCAGCAGACACACATTTCCTCATGTGCTGAGTCGGTTTTACACAATAAGCAAATCAACTAACTTTTGTAAAATCATATTAATCAGGGTTTTCTTTTCTAATTAATTACATAAGAAATAAGTTGTGTCTCGCTATGATGGTTGTTTCTTCCAGTATGTTAGTGTTTCAGTAGTTGCAGTACATTCTGTGTATTCAGTTGGTGTGTAGTGTGTGAAATATGTTGCTAGGATGAGGGTGAAATGGTGGAAGTGCCTCAGAATAATTTGTGAATGTTGACAAAAACTTAAAATATTTGATTTGTTTTAAATCGGAAGAAAATTCCAACTAAATTCATCGACAACAGTTAGACCAGTTTGTGTGTTAAAGAAGTAAAAATACACACGCACGGCGTTATTCCAGCAGAGTTACAGTCGCATCCGTTTGACCTGCTGTCCGGGAACGTATTTAGTCGGGAGATTTTTGCAAGACACTATTTTCCCAAAAACCTGCAGCGCTCGGTCTCAGACAGTCAGCTGCAGCAGAAGTTGACCTTTGCCACCGGTAGGCCGCCTGAACAGTTTTGAAAGACAGCAAGCACGGACTAAAAACACGCAGATCTGTGCTGGACACAAACACACCGGAACGATTTAGAAGCAGTTCATAAGAAAACTAGGATGACCCTCGCCACTCGGAGAGCACAGACAGTGGTGCATTCAGGTGCTCCTCGGATGGTCACCTTTTCCCGAGTTTTTGCGATTGTTCCGAAACTACACGAATGCAGCACAAATGCCCTGTAACGCCCCACGAGTGCCTACCATCATCGCCTGTGTAAACATTAAGCGCTCCATCATTTTACATGCGTCTCCCTCATGAAAACAATACAGGAGGTAGTGTGATCATGACGGTTTTGGTGTGCCGGATCTTATTGACACACAGTACTTTTTCTTCACCGCAAACACTGACGCATGAAGGTTGAATCCCTTCAGTGGCACTCCACCCATCGGCTGCCCTCACCGCTGATGTAAGGAGAGGGCGTGGATCACATTGACAAATGTTGCCACTCAAGTGGAATACCATTTCCATTTTTTTTTTTTTTCCCCATAAAGCAACTTTGTTTCCGTTTTCGCCGCCACGAGTTGTAGAAATATGATCCTATGATCAGGTTTAGTGACCTGAGGGGAGTTTACCAGCTTCTTGAGCACGAGATCAGACAAACCGCTGATCCACTAACCTGTGAAAATCCATTCTACCTCCCAAAAGTTGAAAGGAAGTGGAAATCGCTGCTGTGTGTGATGTCGAGGTAAAGTCTGGTGATAACTTCATGAGACTGAGAGCTTCCTGAAGGCTAGAGGGTAATATGGAGGGCTACTTTTATGATATACTCTTGCCAAATAATTAATTTGCTCGATTTCCCTTTAAATAATGAATATTATGCATTTAATAGATAAATCAGGAGCATCCGCTGAAGTAGAGATGTCGGCATGAGGTAGCGTGTAAGGTCTGGACAAAGGGAAAGCTGAAGCACGTGTGGGAGGAGGGACGGGCCGTCGTGGGATAACAACAACGACAGCACATTTTGCTTTTAATGGAAGCAAATGGATTTGGGTCCGAGTACAGACATGAAAGGGAAAGTATTGAGATGGACTAACAGATTATTGCTTTTGGTATTTTCATGGGATTTGGTAACAATAACAATAAATATAAAAGAACAGTGAGGTGTTTGAATGCAACTCAAACACTTCACTGTAATCCTGATAATAACAATGATAATAAAAAAAGTTTGGGACCATCACAACTTTGCACTGTAAACCAGTCAGGCAGTCCTGTGATTAAAGGGGAGGGTACACGTTATCGACTGTTTGGTACTCTGACCTGGTTGATGGTTTTCTCCATCTGTACCAGGCCCAGGTTGGGCAGTGTGGTCTTGATGAAGTCCACTATGGACTCCAGGCTGTCGTGCTGCAGGATCAGAGGCTTGTGGCTCCCCAGCAGGCTCAAGGCCACCTTGAAGATGACCTCTGACCCCTGCAGGAACAACATATCTGACAGAGGACAAAGAGGAGTCAAAAGGTTACAGAGGACGAAAGAGGTTGACGGCTTCTTTTGATTCAATTACGCAACAGGCCGGTATATAATGACAGACACTCACAGCACAGCTTACCGTGTTGATTGGCGACTTAAAGGGTTGTTTTCAATGCTAGATGCTTTGACGTCAATTAAAAAAGGTTTAAACAAATATAAATATAGGCCAGAGACCGAGTAGGTGTGTGAATTTGTGTGCGCGCTTTGAATGCATCAGGGCGGGGTAAG